TTAAACTAATATCATTAAGCTACAATTACTCATAAAATTCTCTTTCTTACAGGCTAAGCATGGTTTTGTTTGAGTTAAACCGGGCCATTTAAGCTAATGAAAGAATTATTGGCCCAAGCTAATTAGTTCGTAGGATAAAATAGAGAAGGATGGAGAAGGCCGGAGAAACTTGGGGAGAAACATTCTTCTTGACAGGTAGATGAGAAGTCGGAGAAAAGAAAAAGGAAAATAGAAAGAAATTCAAAGGGATTTCAAAATCTTCCTTTTGGAATTGAGAATTGAACACTTAGGTGATTTAGAAATCCTTAAACAAGGTTCTTAAGTTAAACTAATATCGTTAAGCTGAAATTGCTCTTAAAATTCTCTTTTTTAGAGGCTAAGCAAGGTTAGTTTGAGCTAAACTTGGCCATTTAAGCTAATCAAACGATTAGTGGCCCAAGCTAATTAGTTCGTAGGATAAAATAGAGAAGGATGGAGAAGGCCGGAGAAACTTGGGGAGAAACATTCTTCTTGACAGGTAGATGAGAAGTCGGAGAAAAGAAAAAGGAAAATAGAAAGAAATTCAAAGGGATTTCAAATTCTTCCTTTTGTCAGAATTCTCTGTGGATGCATCTGTGTACTTGAGGGTTGAGTGATGAGAGGAATCAAAATTTCACTTCACATGAGGGTTGAGTGTATTAAGCCAACATATTTACTAATGTTAATATATATTATATATCTTTATTTGCAGGGTAAGGAAGCACAAGTCGAGTGGTGTGAGCCCCTAAATTGTGGGCCGAGTGATGTGAGATTCTATAATGAGGGCACTGTTGCTGTTTCAATTTCTAGTAGATTGTATTTTATCTGTTGGAGGTACTTACTTATGGTTGTTCTTACAGGGTCTATTATAATGTATGAGCAGGCCTTGGGTTGTATGGGTCGGAAGAGGTGGCCAGGTTTTGGGGACTGCATACCTGCTGTTTCGGAAGCTCTTGGCATTTCGGATTTCATTACAATGATTAAGTTCAGTTGGAGTTGCATGGAGATGATGACTTTTACTTCTCCTATTGACTGCTGGTTTATTGATTCTCAGTTGTTTGGCAGATTGCGCGCCAAAGGTTACTGTTCTGTGATGATGGCTGCTTGTAGCGCCTTGGTGGTCACTTGTCTTTTCTTAATTTTTATTTCTGTTTTGAACTTCTGTGTTTGGATGCTAGACGGTATTGATGTGATGATATTTTTGGCTTACCCGTGCGGGTTGTGCCGGGTTTTATTTCAGTGGTTGTTTTGTTTGTGTTGTCAGTGGGACTGTGGTTTTTTATTTACAGCTTTGGGTTATCGATTGGATGTGTTCATGGACCTCATTCGTCTGTGTGCGGCTTATGCACATATCCCTGGGGGTTTTCTTCTATGTATTGCTTTTCTTATCTTTATTTTTGGCAGCCGGTTTTGATCCTTGCTAGTTGACTGGTTTTTTTGTTTGTTCTCTCATCAGTTGTATAGTTATATGTTAGGTCCTGGGGTGATTACTCATAAAATTCTCTTTCTTACAGGCTAAGCATGGTTTTGTTTGAGTTAAACCGGGCCATTTAAGCTAATGAAAGAATTATTGGCCCAAGCTAATTAGTTCGTAGGATAAAATAGAGAAGGATGGAGAAGGGCGGAGAAACTTGGGGAGAAACATTCTTCTTGGCAGGTAGATGAGAAGTCGGAGAAAAGAAAAAGGAAAATAGAAAGAAATTCAAAGGGATTTCAAATTCTTCCTTTTGGACTTGAGAATTGAACAGTTAGGTGATTTAGAAATCCTTTAAATAAGGTTCTTAAGTTAAACTAATATCGCTAAGATGCAATTACTCTTAAAATTCTCTTTTTTAGAGGCTAAGCAAGGTTAGTTTGAGCTAAACTTGGCCACTTAAGCTAATGAAACGATTAGTGGCCTAATAAGCTACTTAGCTCCTAGAACAAGATAGAGAAAGATGCAGAAGGACGGGGAAAGTTATGGAGAAACATTCTTCTTGAGAGCTAGAAAAGAAAGTTAGAGAAAAGAAAGAGAAACAGGAAGGAAATCAAAGGGAATTCAAACTCATCATTTTGGAATTGAGAATTGAACACTTAGGTGATTTGGAAATCCTTAAATGAGGTGCCTAAGTTAAACCAATAACGTTAAGCAACAATTACTCATAAAATTTTCTTTCTTAGAGGCTGGGAAATGTTAGTTTGAGTTAAACATGGCCACTAAAGCTAATGAAACAATTAATAGCCTCAGATATAATTAGCTCGTGGAACAAAATAGAGTAGGATGGAGAAGGACGGAGAAAGTTAGAGGGAAACGTTCTTCTTGGGAAGTAGTAGAGAAAGTTAGAGAAAAGAAAGGGAAATAGGAAGAAAATAAAAAAAAAAATAATATTTTTTTTTTTTTTTTTTTTTTTTTTTTTTTTTTTTTTTCCCAAATTTTTGTTAGATGAGGGGCTTAAGTTAAACGTTAGATGAGGGGCTTAAGTTAAACTAATATCGTTATGCTACAAATGCTTTGAAAATTCTCTTTCTTTGAGGCTAAGGAAGGTTAGTTTGAGTCAAACATGCCCACTTAAGCTAATGAAATAATTAGTGGCCTAAGCTGATTAGTTCCTAGAACAAAATAGAGAAGGCTGGAGAAAGTTAGACAGAAACATTCTTCTTAAGAGCTTAGAAGAAAGAGTTAGAGAAAATAAGGAGAAATAGGAAGAAAGTCAAAGGGCAATCAAATTCATCGTTTTGGACTTGAGAATTGAACACTAACGTGATTTTGAAAACTTTGAATGAGGTGCCTGAGCTCAACTAATATTGTTATGCTATAATTACTCAGAAAATTCTCTTAGCTAATTAGTTCCAATGAAGTGCGCTGGAGGAGAAACCAGCAATCTGATGTATGCATCCAGCAAAATAGCTATGAGTAACGAAACATAGTCCCTAGTACATCCCACTAGAGTAGGCAAAATAAGTATGTCGTTATAGTAGGTGTAGAACAAAAAGAAAATAAAGGACAGCTTTTGAACATTCTGAATTCTTCTTGAGAGGCGGTGGAGAAAGGTTAGAGAAAAGATAGAGAAATAGGAAGAAAATCAAAGCGAATTGAAATTCATCCTTTTCGATTTGAGAATTGAACACGTAGGAGATTTAGAAAACCCTAAATAGGGTACTTAAGTTAAACTAATATAGTTAAGCCACAATTACTCAGAAAATTCTCTTTCCTAGAGGCTAAGCAATGTTAGTTTGGGTTAAACTTAGCCACAGCTAATTAGTTAGTGGAGCAGAAGAGGAAAGGATGGAGAAGGACGGATAGAGTTACAGAAAAGCTTTCTTCTTGAGTGGTAGAAGAGAAAATTGGAGTAACCACCGAGGGGCCAGCTGGGTTGGTAAGGAGGTTTGCTCCCTTCCATACGACCAATATGACTCAAAAGCATTAGCCCAAATTTCTAGTAATAATTCACTTGGTACTTCATGTGTCAAACTAAGATTGGCTTGTAGAGTCGGCTCCACAGGGGCCGGCTTTGGGGGTGTTCTGGGCATCAAAAAAAAAAAAAATCTATGAATTTCAATTCCCTGTAAGTTTCATTCTATTTATCTCCCTTTTCCCCAACTATCTCTTCTAGTACTTTATTCACCCAAAAAAAAAAATCTCTTCTAGTTCTCAGGAAGAAAGTTTCTCTCTAACTCTCTCCGCCCCTCTCTCTTTTTTTCTCTGTATTTATATCCTAACAGCATTTGCTCATTATTTACAACATCATAAGCCTGTGTAGCATGTCCCAAATGATATCTCATAACAACAAATCTACTGCACCTAGTGAGTTTCTTATTTTCTGGTTGTGCATCATTAATTTTCGCCAAGTCTAAGAACAAGTGTACCTGATTGAAGTAAATAACCTTGTATTGTAGTTGAATTGGCCACCACTGTATACAATGGCATTGACAGATAATCAAATAATATACTGTAACAAGTGTGTTTCTGTTAGTGTGTCAGTTATTTCTGTTAGTGCTTCTGTTACCAATAATCGCAACATGAACACAAGCCACCCCTGAAATGGTGAAACCGAGTAGCATCTCTCACAATGATTTCTTTCCCCACAAGTATGGAGATAAATTTGATTGCAGAGTGACAGTCATCGCAGACAAAGGTTCGTCATGATCCTCAAAGTAGTGTTTTCCGGAGTATTTAACAGACCAAATGCAATGGCAAGCTTTTTCGCTACGATGTCTAAGAATCTGCTCTTTAACCTCTTCATCAAGGTTGTGTAATACTAAAATTCTGTTCAAGAAAAGTAGCAGAGAAAGGTTTTCAGAGAGTTGATTGGAGGGAAACGAAGAAAAAAAGTAGTGAATGGTGTGCCAAACACAGTGTTAAGGGTTCACTTGCAATGGGGTGAATGGAATTAGGGAAAATTTCAATTCATTACTAATTAGTCATTAAGAATGAAATTGTGGTGAGAATGTTTTGAAAGATTTTTCTTTTTTTTTTTTCGTCCATTTTATCTCAATGTTGTTAAATCGTCGTCGGACCACCATTGACTTGCCGTCAAACCATCGTTGACGCTAGTTTGTCACCAGAAAAATTGTCGAAAAAATTGTCCTTAATATGAACAAATAGACATAATAAATAGACCGATAAGTGATATATAAATAAATAAAATAATAATACGTGAATAAATAAGTGAACAAATAAATAACATGTGCACTTATAAATTGATATATATGATCTTTTAAATTATTTTATTCTTTTAATCCCAAAAATTTTAAAATTAAATCTATGGTAGTAGAATCTCACTCTTCCATTTATAATAGTAAAAAAACAATATTATGTTGGAACAATGTGTATCCCAGTAGAAAAACAATTGAATATTAAATATGTTGGAATAAGGCGTATCCCGATTATAATAGAATCAGGACAACTGTGAATGTCAAATAAGTTCATAAACCAACCATCTGGATGCAAACCAATAATTGAATTCAGGATAATAATAAATAAACAAATAAAAAGTTCATCATTGGCTTTTTAATGTGCCATTGCAATTGATTCTCAATATAAACAAATGAGAAAAATGAATTGCAATCTTTTTCAATTCAAGAACAAACTGAAATTAACACTGTCAATCAATCAATCAATGGATCAACTATCCCTTTACACCAAAAAAAAATTAAGATAAAAATGAGAGGATCGGCCCAGATTATAGGAAACCAATTGACAAAGAGGAAAACAAAAACATAGAAATAAAAATCAACAAATCAACCATGTACAAAATTTCAAACAGATATAGAACACAGATCCTCAAAGACTTGTCTCATATTAGGCCTTTCATTTACAGGTAGAATACACCTCAGCGATATCGCAAGCATTTCATCCATCGCTCTCGAGTGTTCCTCCCCGGCAGCAATGTCTCTGTCGATGCAGTCCATTCCTCGACCTTCACGGTCACATAGCCGAACCCAATCGGTAAGATCAACGGCACCCGATTGACCAGAGATAATGTCGCCGGCACTTCTTCTAGTCAACAATTCCATCAAAATCACTCCAAATGCATACACGTCCGCTTTGAATGAAGGGACTGGTTTGGCTGCTATAGCGAGTTCAGGAGCACGGTATCCAAGTGCTCCTAGGTTTAGTATCTGCTCTGCGATCCCAGATGGTGTCATCAGACGGTGGAGACCGTAATCGGTAATACAGGCATTGAGATCAGAGCCTGTGAGGAGTATATTAGTAGGCTTTAGGTTCCCATGAGGTAGGCCTCTATCATGAAGATATGTCAGACACTGGGCAACATCAACAGCAACTTTCAACCTTTGGCTGAACAATAGTCGTGAGTACCTCCGTGGTGTCGCCTCTGCATGAGATAGATATATTGATGAAATACTCAAAACTAAGAAAAAGCTCATGGCCATCTCAGACAATCTTTAAGATGAAACAGTTGGTAGAAAATGTCATCACAAGACCTAGAACATTTGTTTAGTAATACCCACCCGAGAACCAAACAACCATAACACCAAGGCACCACAAAAATTGGGGTTTGCAGCCCTTGCATCAATTAGATCCTGTCAAAATACTTGGATATTGGTTTAACTTTATCTCTTGTGCCAATGTGCAAATGTGAGCTACTGGTTCTAGAATTACAACGTAGTTTAATATCTAAATCATGCAATTTTCCTTCATGGTTTCTGGAGGGTAATCTATAAGACACCTGTAATGAAACCAGAACACCAGGCATATGTAAAACGAAAACGTTTTGGACCTTAGTGAAGTACGAGGGAGTTAAGGAGGTTATCAAATTCAACCTTTCTTTAATAGTTTTTAAGCCCATAAGATTGAGAAACATGCAATGAAGAAACCTACAAAAGCTCAAGAACAATAATTGGGGAAGACTCAATCTCGCAGACATACATAGTTGGAACAAGACCATGTAATCAGACCAGAATCTATTAGTAGTAGTAATGTGAATTTTTTTTATTAAATGCATAAGAAAGTTCAGCAAGATAAATTCAATAACTCCATGTGTTCTAGAAAGATAATTTTTTTTTTTTTTTTTAAATGTTGGAGAAAAGCCATTACATTCAAACAAATGTTAGTCCTACATCATATCAATGCATTTATATGCTATATATGCTAATGATACGTCAGCAGGTTAAGATTTTCTACATCGTGGAAATTTAGCAGTTTCACGTCCATATACCCATCCCCTAAGACATAGATATAAAAAGTGTTCCCCAAGATGTTATGCCAATCTAATATTTAACTGGTTCTATTCATAATTTCAAAGATGTAAATCTTATATTTTTTGCTTTATCACCCAAGAAATGCAATTTCCAACAAGGGCCACTAATTCGGTGCTTACTCAACCCATTAACCTTGAAATTGTGGGTGCAAACCTGAGGGCAGCCATTGTGCAAATTATGTCAAAAGTTAGGCATGTATCCAATTTACCCCTCCCAATTCAATGGGACTAAACTAGGCATAGTTTTACTTTTTATTAAATTTTCAGGCACCACGGGTATAGAAGTAGGAATATAAAAATATAATAAAGTTATCTTATCTCCCATAAAAAGGGGAAGAAAAAAAAAAAAAGTAACAACCATATATAAGTTTTGAAGCCCTTACCATAAAGATGCAAAGCCAAGCTATCTCCCTGGACATAATCTGCTAAAATAAGCCTCTCCTGTTCTCTTGGCCCCCAATAATAAGCTCGTAACGGGACAATGTCACGATGCCTCATTGATCCAATTTTTTTTATTTCCTTGGCAAATTCCTTTTTATGTTTGACCAATCCCACCCTCAGCCACTTCACAGTCAACATGTGTCCACTATCTAGAGTAGCTTTGTACAAAGTGCCATGACTACTTCGACCTAAAACTTCTGCTGGAGCTCGTGACAACTCCTCAGCTGTGAATGCTAGCGAAGCCTCCAGGAAGAACAGTTCTCCAGCCAATCGATCTGGTGAATTGACATTTAATGTCACAGATTGTTCAATTGCATCAATAAAACGGGGTGATGAAGAGGAATCTGGAGAAGACTTCCTTCCAGATATCACTGGATGATTATCTGGGACATTGGGACTCAGAGATACCGAAGTAGCAGCCCTTGCTTCAGGCAAAACATGTTCAACAATCTCAGTACTAAATTCTGCTTTCCCCGACATTGACCTTGAATTTGAAGTTAATAAGTGAGCATTAGAAAAGCTACATGAAGTTGATGCGGGCTCAATATTTGCCTGGAACTTGAAGAGAGAAGGCTTGGAAAATCTTCCTAATCTAACATCTCTACCAGTGGTTGGGCCACTAAACCCACTTCTCATGTGAAAATCCTGAAGTTGAGCCCGATGATAAGCTATCAGTACAAAGGCAACCATCGCAGTAGCCCCAACCGAAGCAACAATAATAGCTACTCTAACACTTGATTTTGAACTGTGATGCTTTCCGCTCCCATGAATTTCAGCAGAGTTATCATTCTGGGACGACATGCTATTTGGCAAGCTCAGCAACAAGTTCCCAGGACGAAATGAACTAATAGGGAAGTTTCTCAAGTTTTCTGGAATAGATCCTGATAGATTATTATAGGACACGTTGAAAACCTTTAGACTCGATGGAAGCTTATCAGGTATTTTATCATTGAAATTATTACTAGATAAATCTAGGTACTCCAAGCCACTAAGCTTGCTCAATTCATTTGGTATCTGTCCCAATAAGCCATTGTGTGCAAGATTCAGCAACTTAAGCTGACCGAAGTTACCTATGCCTGAAGGCAAGGTACCCGCTAAGGAATTATAAGAGAGATCAAGAGACTCCATTGGTGGATAAGAAGGTAGCACTAAGAATTCACTTGCATGCGAACCTTGCACAGGAATAGATCCTGTAAAATTATTGCCTGAAAGGTTCAGGTTTATCAAGGTCATTGAAATGAAAAAACTAGGTGGAATAGGCCCGTCAAGTAAATTCAAGCTCAGATCAACTGCAGACAGCCTTGGGTAGCTCCCTAGTGAAGGAGGTAAGGTACCTACCAAAGAATTATTTTTAATATTGAAAGTGGTCAAACTCGGGAAATTGGATGTCAGATTAGGAATGCTTCCTGACAACTTGTTTGAACTCAAGTCAAGAATTTCCAAACGGGCTTCCCAACTCTGGACTGCAGACAAATCACCAGAGAGCATATTTCTGCTCAAATCCACAATGACACATCTTCCCACAGTAGAAGGCAAAGAACCAGAGAGGGCATTTGATGAAAGATTCAAATTACTGAGAGTTGTAGAATTGATTACATGTATTGGACCTGCACATATACATGCAAAAAATTAGACAGTCCAATTATGTTATTGACAAAAAGGATGAATTTCAATTCTCTTTGATTTTCTTCCTATTTCTCTTTTTTTTCTCTGACCTTTCTCTACCGCCTCTCAAGAAGAATTCAGAATGTTCAAAAGCTGTCCTTTATTTTCTTTGTGTTCTACACCTACGATAACTACATACATATTTTGCCTACTCTAGTGGGATGTACTAGGGACTGTGTTTTGTTTACTCATAGCTATTTGCTGGATGCATAGATCAGATTGCAGGTTTCTCCTCCAGCGCACTTTAGGAATACTGTTACACGCCGTGTGGGTTACGCTTCAAGACTATGCCGATTCAGATTTCGGTGATTTCTAGATGGCTTACTTTGGTTGCTACTTTCATTATTGGCGTTTGACATTTTTGGATGGGTGGCTCATTGCTATTACTTTGTTTCATTATTGATTTTAGTTAGTTCTTCCGCTGATGTTCAACAGTTTGACCATCTTGCGTCTGGTTACTCAGGCTTTTCTTTCTCTCGTGTATAGCTTTGTAGGGCGTGGGGCATGCCCCTTGTAATCTCGTTTATTCTTCTGTTTTATTTATGACTTATTCACCCAAAAAAAAGAACGTTTGTCTCTAACTATCTCCGTCCTTCTCCATCATTCTCTATTTTGTTCTAGGAACTAATAAGCCACTAATTGTTTCATCAGCTTTTAAGGGGACAAGTTTAACTCAAACTAACCTTGCTTAGCCTCTAAGAAAGAGAATTTTCTGAGTAATTGTAGCTTAACTATGTTAGTTTAACTTAAGCACCCTATTTAGGGTTTTCTAAATCGCCTACGTGTTCAATTCTCGGGTCCAAATGGATGAATTTGAATTCTCTTTGATTTTCTTCCTATTTCTCTTTCTTTTTCTCTAACTTTCTCTTCAACATCTCAAGAAGAACGTTTCCCTCTATGCTTCTCCGTCTTCCTCTGTTTTGTTCGACGAACTAATTAGCTTAGCCCACTAATTGTTTTATTAGCTTAATTACTCATAAAATTCTCTTTCTTAGACGATATGCATGGTTAGTTTGAGTTAAACCTGGCCACTTAAGCTAATGAAACAATTATTGGCCAAAGCTAATTAGTTCGTAGGACAAAATAGAGAAGGACGGAGAAAGTTTTGGAGAAACATTCTTCTTGACAGGTAGATGAGAAGTTGGAGAAAAGAAAGAGAAATAGGAAGAAAATCAAAGGGATTTCAAATTCTTCCTTGCGGACTTGCGAATTGAACACGTAGGTGATTTGGAAATCCTTAAATGAGGTTCTTAACTTAAACTAACATCGTTAAACTGAAATTCCTTAGAAAATTCCTTTTCTTACAAGCTAAGCAAGGATAGTTTATCTAGTTCACTTTGGGCAGGTGAAACATAAAACTGTCTGGTGGGTTTATTACTGGCAGTCTCCTTTGTACTGTTATTGGGACTGTTATTGGACTCCGGCTGCAAGTTGGATGATGTTGGGGAAGGCTCATGGATGTTGGCAACAAGATGCGCCTGCTATCGAATTTAGTGTTGACTGGTGGTGTGGAGGTGGCTGCAACCTGCGCCCCTCGGGGAAGCTTTATGCTGTGTGGAGATGCTTTTCGGTGATGGCAGCACGGTGTGCCTTACCTTGGCACTTCAGTGGGTTCATAAGCTGTTTTAAATTCTGCTTGTATATATATCTGAATGGTGGGACTTTTATTATTGTGTATTGTAACGTTGTCCCTTTTTTTTGGGTTCTTAGTTTTCTAGATCTGGATGTGTTTAAGCCTAAGATAAGGGCTGTTTTTTTTTGGTATTCACGGTGATCTTGGTATTATCTTAGTTCGGATGCTTCTTTGTAACAGTGTAGATCTTGTGCAAGCTCCCTATCTGTTTGTGGGATATGGTTCTTGAACAAGTCTTTTGTGCTTAGTTGCTCTGGCTGTTTAGAGTTCTTTGTTTTTTTTGTGGTTGGCTTGCCTCTCTGGTGCCAGTTGTTTGTTTGGTTGTTGCCGTTGTAGTTTGGGGTAGGGCCTACATTTACTGCTTACAGGTTGGCTACTATTTATGTTGATGAAATTGTCCGCTTACACGGAGTTCCAGTATCCATTGTATCGGATAGAGATCCGAAGTTTGTGTCTAGATTGTGGAAGAGTTTGCAGGAAGCTATGGGAACAGAACTAAGGTTCAGCACTGCATTCCACCCACAGATAGATGGGCAGTCAGAACGAACAATACAGACTTTGGAAGATATGCTTCGCATGTGTGCTTTGGATTTTCAGGGGAGTTGGGAGGATTATTTGCCATGTGCAGAATTTGCTTATAATAACAGCTTCCACTCTAGCATCGGTATGGCACCATACGAGGCTTTATATGATAGAAGGTGTAGATCACCTATCTATTGGACAGAGGTCGGGAATAGAGCTTTGCTTGGGCCAAAAATTGTGCAAGACACTTCTGAGAAAATCAAGACTATTCGTCAAAGGCTCAAAACAGCTCAGGACCGACAAAAGAATTATGCAGACATTTGGAGAAGACCTCTTGAGTATGAGGTTGGTGACCATGTGTTCATCCATATTTCTCCGATGAAAGGCCAAGTCAGATTTGGGAAAAAGGGCAAATTATCGCCCCGTTACATTAGGTCGTTCCAGATTTTGGAAAAACTCGATCCAGTTGCTTATAGAGTTGCCTTGCCATCGGGATTTGAGTAAATCCATAATGTGTTTCATGTGTCAATGTTGAGGGGTTACCTCCGAGACCCGTTGCATGTGATTGATTATCACCGGATTGCTATCGATGAAAATATGGAATATGCTGAATGGCCGGAAAGAATTGTTGACCGACAAGTGAAAGAATTGAGAAACAAATCCATTCCAATGGTGAAAGTGGAATGGAAGGAACACTATGGGACAGATGCTACATAGGAAAAAGATGAGGAAATGCGTTTACGCTATCCACATTTGTTTCCCGACGAAGGTAAATTAAGTTTGAGGGACCAAACTTCCTAAAGGGGGGAAGACTGTGACACCCCTGTTCCGTAGTATGTTAATTGGTCCTTAACATGATGTGATTATGTATTTTGATATGATTTTGTGTTCCACTATGTGAAAATATGTGGTTCGAAACAAAAGGAGGTCACGTAAGGAATATCTGTTTGAGTAGTCTGTTTTGGAAATTTAATTGAGGGCCTTATCGGCCACGGAACCCGAAATTGATTACGCCATTGTGGTTGGCATAATTTTTAGGGCCTACGGTGAAACTTAATTGAAATTTGATTCTGGCCAATTGTATTTAAATGGTTAATTGATAATTAAGTAATTTTTTATATAATTGTATAGTGGGGCTGGT